AGTTTCGCCGGCGGATGGAACACCAATGGTTGACAGGAAACAGGCCTTGGGGGGCAAGTCCAAACAGCCAAGTAAACGGACCGAGCTTTTGTTCCAACGACTTAAGGACAGCAATAAAAGGTATAGACCCATAAACCAAAAAGTAGTTAGCGAATCTAAGCACACTCTAACTCTAGCAAGTGGCTCTGTACTTAGGAAAAGTGGGGTTGCTGCGAAAGTCATCAAGACCAACGGGCCAAATACTGCGAGCAAACTAACACTACCACCCCCAGCCATGAGTGCGCTGAAACGTCGGGCGGAATTGAAACGAGCACTAAACGAACAGGCGGCGGGGACAAGCACACAGAGTAAGGCCGAAAACAGAACGCGAGAAATTTCACCAGCAGAGGAGGCAGACTCGGATTTGGACTACGAGCCGATAACAATTTCAAAATATGCAGGGAACCCAACAACAGCACCCGATCGGAACGTGGAAGAGAATGCACCAAAGGTGCCTAAAGATGTAGAAAACGTAGCGGGAAGACCCAACTTATCCGAAGGAAGCGGAGTTCCAACATCCAAGGGGGTGGACACGGAGGTCCAAACTATGAGCACCGAACAAGGGGGAAGTGCCCCGAATTTGAGTAACGAAGGACAAGGGGAAAAACAGCCTAAAAAGAAAGGGGAGCGAGGACGACGTTTACACCTCGTATCATATTCTAGTCAGGAATCAGAAGACCAAGATGGGACAGGATCAAGGAAAAGTACCAGGAAACGGACGGCGGTATATTGAAAGCGAGAACAACCAAAGGAGGGGAAGACAGAGAGCGGGACACGAATTAAGCAGGAAGATACACTTGAAAGATGGAGTGAAAAAGAAAACTAAAGAAAACTATTTAAACTAAAACTTATGCCCAGGGAGAGGGTGGACTACTGCGGGTCCAAAACTCAAACATTTCTCCGTCGGATAATTTCAAAACATTTGTTTAAAAAAAATGATTGTTGAGGGAATGTCATATATATATATATATATTATTCCTAGTATCTAACTATATATATTACGTTGTTGGCGCCATTGGTTTAGCCATGTGTTTGGTGCGGCTACCAATTAATTAATACCTGCCAATCTTAGTTAAGTCTGTGTGTGTGTTGAGTCATTGTTGTTAACCGTTAAGACTAAAACAAGTCAGTCTAAATTCAGTGAATTTACGATATTGAACTTACATTTTTCACAGCCAAAAAGATTCTCAAAAAAGTTAGAAAAATTGTGGTTTAAAATTGGCTCTACACGCAATTTCATATCATAAAAAACATTGGAGGGATATTTTAAGCTAATGGGGAAAACGTGGCATTTTTAATCCAATTTTAATCTTTTCTCGTATTGGCTTTCTAAAAAAGTGGGGAATGCATATGCTAGAGGTAATTTTTTATTCAGAATTTTATTTTATTAAAATCAGTTCTTAGCAGGCAGATTGGTCCAGGAAACTTGTGTACGGGTGTGCTGGCATTAAGTCAAACGCGTTTTCATTTATATAGATAATACTTTCACAATACCCAAAGTTTTTATGCACGGCGAACTATCGGCACATATAGTTGCTCCAATTTGATTTGAAGCAAACAATTTAGAGCAAAAAATATCCATCCACTTTTTTGAAAAAAAGTTTTTGAGACCAGTTAAATGGAAGTCGGAAAATTCAGCAGTAGAATTTGTGGAGTAAATACAATTTGCATGCTAATGAATTAATATATTTTTAAATAGTAACTTATTGTAAAATTTTGGAGAAACCTTTTTTTTCCAAAAAAGATATTTACCAAAATTACCATTATGATTAGCATTACCAAGTAAAAAAGCATTGCAGTATCTGAAGAGTATAAAATTATAAATTGAGGCGCACAATTATATACAATATTCATTAGCTTTTTGTTACATATTTTTGTTTGAAACCCCTCCCTAAAAAAACATGAACATTATATTTAAAAAAAGGATATTTCAGCTATTCTTGGTTGCTTCTACTCCTATTTTTAATCCATTCAACTGCGCATGATAAAAATCAATAGAACATCCTACTGTCCACAAAACTTTAATTTATTTACGATAACTGCCCAATGGCTGCAAATTAAATTTACACTTCCTTCTAGTGCAAATCATTTGAATATTTTGTCGAAAAAGCCATGCCTACATTTTGTTGTTCCGATTTTTGAAAAAGCGACAGAATGTTTGTGCACGAGGTGGTTATTTCTCCAGGCCAATTTCAGTTTTCTAACTAGCTGTTTTTTACGTTTTTTGCTGATGTCGAGTTTTGATGTCAGTTTTGTAAAAAAACTGCCGTTGAGTTCAAAATTAAAAAGCTAATTTCAACTTTGATCATAAAATTATAGGGATTTGAAAAATGCTTTTTTGGCAATTTTATCGCGCAGTATGAACCGAGCCTTTAATGCGTAAGCGTCAAAATAAACGGTTACAAACTGAAGTCCAGCAATATGCTTTCTTTCATACATTTCTTTGCACAAATTTTGTCTTTGTTTTGTGTTTTGTATAGCTTGTAAGGGAATAAGATGAAGAAAAAATTTTATAAACGTTTTTTTTTCCAATAATTTTGTCGAGTTTTGAGAAAAAATCTGCGACTTTGAACGGCAGTCAGAACAATAAGTGTTTCCATCTTTGTTTGGTTATATATCACTAAACTCATTTTCAGAAAAATTGCTTTAGAGCTAACTCCCAGATTTGTTATGGGAGTTAACAGTCTTTAAAAAAACTTTTTTCGACGAACTTTTTGTAATCAGATACATTCTGCCAAAGGTTATATCTATTAAAGTTATATCGGATCAACTGTAGATTTTTCTCATCAAATTGATTTAAGAAGGAAAAATATAATTGTTTCAAAAGATAATTTTGATAAGAACATTATATTAGCTATTCAACAAATTTAAACACTGCTACACGAAAAAAAACATCAATTTAACTGATTTAGCAAGCAATATAAAACCATATTTGAAAGAAAAATTTCAAAATTGCTATATTTTGCGGGTTGGTTTGAAATGCAGATTTTTACAGATTTCAAATTCAGAAGATAAAAAAAGCTTGAGGAGGACATTCTATGGTCCTGCATCCAGTTTCAATTGTTAATAACTGATTATTTTATGATTTTTGTACCTTTCTGACTAAAAACCAGAAAGAAAATTTGAACTCATTTAACAATTCTTTATAATCTGTCTATTTGAAATTAATTTAAATTATGATCAATTATAGTACAATTTTAGCAATTGAAATCTACTAATATTCCAATTTTATGGTACAGTTATAATTGATAATAATCGATTTTATTTGATTAATTTCATCCCATTTTCCTCTTATTTTTATGCAGAAAAATTGTAATTTAATTAATTATAATTGATAATAATTGCTTTTGTTTTCCTTTTTGTTCGACTTTATATCATCTGAATGGCTTATATTTTATGCTTATTTTACACGTTGGTTTATGTGAAAAAGGTGAAAATTAATTTAGCAGCTTTTAAATCAATTCAATTTGTAATGTTTTTTATTTTTTCATTAAATCTATTAAAGTTTTCTCACGATGCGCATTTAACATTTTGTTAAGCACCAAAGTATCAGCTTATTGTTTTAGTTTCATGAACCGTTTTAGTTTCATGGAGAGTTTTTTTCCATCTACCGCAGGAATCTTTCAGCTAAATTGAAAGGATTTGTATGAGATTTGTAAAAATCCGTGTTCAGATGAACCAAAGTATGAAAATTTTTAGATTCTTCATGTTTATAAAACAAATTCATAGGATATAAACAAAACATATTTCACGTGATTTTATTTTGGCAAAATAAGAGGTTATAATTGATTAGAATCGATTTAAAGATTTTTTGTATGAAGAATAATTAATATGATCAATTAGATTTTTCAAAGAATCAACACAATAATCCGTTATAATCAATTTTTAACCTTGGATGCGGTAAGGTCACTAAGGGGGGGGGGGGTTGCATGGTTTATCGGTTATTTCTAAGGCTTTAGCATTTTTTTAGATTCTAAAGAAAATAAGGTGTAGAGAAAAAGAGTATAGGTTTTTTTGCAACGCTATGTGCGTAGAAACTTTTGTGGCTCAGCATTTCAGCTCATAAGCAAACACTGACCGCATATATTCGATGCAGAGTTGTAATTAAAATATTTCATGCTTGATATTTCTGGCTCATTTTAGTAATCTGCTAATTGTTACTTCGATTCTTTCATGAGCACTGGAATCTAAGTTGAGTTTGCATATAGTTTCACATCTTCAAAAGGCTTAATGAGCAAAATAGACTATCTTACTTTCCAAAACAGTTACAATAACGGCAATAATTTTGCGATGATTTCTGGTGATGACATGACAAGCTTCGTTTCGCCTCTGTGTCTATTAAATCAATCGATCAATTTTCTTTATTTATCATTAACTCAATTATTCAATAAAATTTATTTTGATCAGTGAACTTTTACCCAATTAATCTCAGCGCAAAAAAAATACAAAAAAACTTTCTCTTTTCTTTTGGCTATTTTTTCTGGTTTTCTGGTTTCTAACTGTTTTCTACTGTTTTTTTTAACCCGAGGACAGTACACACTACATAACGTTGTTTCAGCCGACTTATTTTTTCCCCCGAAAAGGTAAAAAAGAGGCGAGACAAAGGTAGTAAGATTGAAAAAAAAAACAGGCAAGATATAGGGCAAAAAAAGATTGGGAAAATTGCTTTGTTGAAAAGAGCAGAGGCCTTTTTTTACATCTATTTTTTCTTTTATTTTACCCTACTATTAACCCTGCGAATCCTGTTGACTAAAGTAACCCCCCTCGCACTAATGATACTTAGATTGTTTCAATTCCTATTAAGGACTAATTAAGCACACCCGAATTTTGTGATTTTGTGAACATTGTCGCATATTTTTACCTTTTTTATATAAGAAACGAGGGGGATAGTTATCAAGACTTAGTCGCTATAAGCAATGATTTGTGCCATAAATGGGAGTAGCAAATGATTGGAGGCTTACCTGTCTTAAAGAAGTTAGGAGATGTCAAGACTAATGTCAGGCAGTGAAATGAGCTGATGATGGAAATCAGACTTTATCAAACCGTCTTTTTTCTCTCTATCGAGAAAGATAGTGTTGAAAAAGCAATTACTTCACATTTGATTTAAAAAGTATGAATGATAAAATTTTCTGAACTATGTAACCAATAGGAAAAACAGCTAAAAAAACTAAGCGTAAAACCACGTTTAAAAGCCAAACAAAAACATGGAAAGTTTTTTTAGGCTGTTGCAAATTTTAGTAATTGAATTTTAAGAGGTGATAACATTTCATAAATTCCTATTTCCTGTTTTCAAAGGCGGTGGTTGTTACAATTTGTGCCGTGGAAAAAAATGGGCGAAACGCAGTGAATAAGAGAGTATGATTGTTTGAGCACTTTGAAAATAAAGTTCAAAATATGTTAGGTATAAGTAATTAATGATTAAAAAAATCAAGATTATTGAAGCCGTGAAAAAAAGGTAGGAATTTCTTTCAAGCTTAGTTTTTGTTGTTTCACAAAAAAGGGTGATAAAAAGAGAACAAGCATGACGCTTATGAACGCAGCTAACTTTGGTTTATAAACTGGATCGCTTTCAGCTCTTCTTTTTTGTTTTATATTTCGCATGGATACAGCAGTTACTGAGCTAAATTAGAAACAAACGCCGTTGGGAGTTTGTTTCTAAATATAAACTCATTAACTATTAATTTTCCGATCATGAATAAATATAAAAGTTGCTCACCATCGACCATCAAAAACTGTGATCAAAATACATCGTTCAAACTTTGCATCATTACATGTAATATGACTAATCATGAACAAACCGAGACGTGAACAAATCCCTGTGAACAAATCGAGACATGCAGTGTCGAGATGTGAAAAAAATCGAGATGCAACATAACCTGTTGCTTATCTGGGTTGCCGGACATCAAGCCGACGGGACTTCAAGCCGAATCGTAAATTAGGGACTTCAAGCCGAATATATTTTTTATAAAGTTGTAAAATATGATTAATTTGTAAATTTTATTGAAGAATTTCTGAATTTCGTTATCTTTTTTCACAAGTTATTGGCGTTTTCATAAATTTTAAGCCTACAACTGATGTTTAGGAAAGATGAAAAATAAAACACGGTTGAAGGCGTTTTTCATGCTTTTAATGTATGCATTTCAAAAACAGGCTGATGTTATTAACGGATACCAATCCCAAGTGGTGCATTGTCATGAATAACGCTTTTTATGGATTAAACATTTGAAAAGCAACGTTTTACTGGATGAAAAAATAGTGTTTTGAGGTGATTGTAAAGTTCAAATTTCGGCCTGAAGTCCTTTCGACTTGAAGTCCCGTCGGCCTGTTGTCCTAGACCCGCTTATCTGGCATGAAACACATGTGAAACAATTGAACAAATACTCACATTTGAAAAAATTTTAACTCTCAGACGTGATTTTTACTTTCTAATTTTTTTCATTTCAAAATGGACCGACCTTCTTGCTTAAAATTGATTATTATTCAATTAGAGTTCCAGCAATTTTCTCGCAAATTCAATAGCTAAAAAACTGATGAGAATCCCGGATAAAATTCGTATTATGCAACCACAAACTGACAATTTGTCTAACCAGTTTCCCAAAAAAACTACACTAATTTACTTGCGCTATGGCGGCGGTTAAATTGCTTTTTCTAGTAAATAATCTCCTATTTTGTGTGTTGCATTAGGTCCAGAAAAACGACAACAAGTTTTTTGAATGCTCAAGTGACAATCTCTTAAAGTGTTTCTTTTTGTACCAAAAGAAAATGAGTACTTGGCTCGTTTTTCAAGGAAATGAGGACAGAAAATGGAGACGAATACCATCCAAAGCCTTTTGAACAGATGTTTGTTAGCCTGCAGATGTTATTCATTGAAGAGCTATCGACTGAAAAATTAATTGTGTTAAAGAACCCTAATTATTCAATGAGAAAAGAGAGTTTTGACAGTGTATTCAATGGGCATGGTGTAATGAACATAAACAACTAAATCAAAATCCTTTATTCTGATTCAAATAAACAACGAAATTACGTTTTTGAGCTGTGCTTTTTTAAACTGTGCTTTATTTAGCAGTGCTTTACTTAAATAGTGTTTGATTTTAATTTTAGATTTGTTCAAATAAGGCACGTAAACATATTGCACACGTGTGTTTTATCTCAAAAGCAATTGAATTTTTACCACAAGGATGAGCATTAAAACTGCTCAGCTGAGAAAGTTAAATTTGACAAACGTTCCCTGTTTAAGTTATGCCTCATCATATAAAGAATGACTCATGAAGGTCATGCTGCATCTTTCTATAACTCGTTAACTATCAATTTTCTTATCAAAGCGCCATGAATATAAAAGTTACTCAGTATCAAAAACTAAGTTGTAAAAAATTAGGCAGGCCTTAGGTTTTGCCTCATTATTTGCAGTATGACTGATCAGGGTCTGGTTTAATCTGTTCGATTTAGAACTTACTATTGGTTTTTGATCATAGGTAGGTAGATAAACGTTGAATCGAAAATTGAGTTTGTCTGATGGGTTAACTGTAGTATGACTCATAATCTATGACTTTGTCAGTTTCGTGGTCAAAAGCAGAGACACAAATTCGCTTTCTGTTAAATATTTCTGTTAAAAGATTCTGTCTGCTTTTTTTTGAGATTTGACTCATCCTTAGGAAGTTGATTCGTTTTTTTATAAAATCTTAATTTTCTGGTCAAGTCAATTACATTAAATCAACAACACAAAATTTTCTCACATTTTTTTTCAAAACTTGAATTGTTATCCGGCTAACAATTTTTTTAATAAAAATCATAGAATCAGCAAAATGAAGTGGTCCTTGTAGACTGCCGTAATGTTAAAGTTTTTCTTCCTAGTTTGGAATGCCATAGATCCAGAGAACCCAGTGATTGCAAAGGATTCGTAGTTTGAAGAAAAATCTTCTACATCCAGATGAAATTTCCAAACGACCAAAGCTAACCAAGATTCAAAAAAATTAGCTAATTTAGAATCTGGTGCATGGTTTTACTGTTATAATTTTGAACTATTATACTTGTCAGATCTTGTCAATTTTTTTTTCAAATAATTGAATATTTGAACATTGCACTGTACTGTTTGGTGATTTTGAACCATGTTTTTTTGGGACAAAGTTTTATTCTGTTGGTGATATTGAATCATATTTTTCAGGGCAAACTAACAGCTTGTCCCAAAGCGGTAATGATTCAAATCAAACTAATGGCTCAAAAATTTTCAAAATCGAAATTTGGAAAACTAAAAACAAATTGATATCCCAGCGTTTATAGAGAAGTAACATATATGAAGTTGTTTTGACTGAACTTTAGTGAGCAAGATGGCCTCTCTTTAATTCAAAAATAAATATTTTAACGGGAACAAATTTGATGATTTCTGACGATGACAAGCTTGTTTGCGCATCTGTATTCAATAATTCTATAGTCCATTTTTTTTCATTTTTAAATCATTCAGACCTTAAATATCGTTTTGAAAACATTTGATCAAGCCTTTTTAAACTTTAAACGAAATAAAAAAACTATCACGATCGTTTGAGACCAAGAACCGTAGCGGTGTTTTCTCGCTAGTCGTTAATCGAGTGAACTCAGCGGTTGCGAAAGATTCAAAATTTGACGACAAATTTTCGAGATTGAAACAAATATAACAAAACCACCAAAACATAGCAAATTTTCAACAAAATTAGCTAACTTAGAATCTGAGGCATGCTTTGTTTATTACAAGTTTCAACTAAAATAATCGTCAGATCTCGTCAAAGTTTGAATTTGTGCAGTTTTGTTTTGTTTGTCATTTTGAGTCACACTTTAAGGGATTATCATACAATTATTATGCAATTAAACGGCTTAAATTCAAAAAATTGCCAAATTTTTACATCAAAATATTGACCAAAAATTTTTTTCGAAACCGCGGTTTAGAAACTTAAATACAAATTAAATATTGTAGCGTTCTGAAACAAATTCGTAATATTCAAAGAGCTGTTTTGATCTAATTATTTACAGTTAAAAACAAATGTTTTGTGTAGATGAAGGCTATGTGCTGAAATTTAAACAAGTTTAAGTGTTCAAGTTCGACCTTATCTGTCTGCTTTCTAAAAATTTACGCCGGCAAAAATGGTTTAAAAATTATGAACAAAAGATTAAATGAAACGAGCCTACTTGCTTCTGCCGTTTAAATTTCGTTATCAGAAAAACTTGATTAAAAAAATGATTGTGCGCTTGGTTTTTATTTATTACAAATTTAACAGATCTACCAGTAAAGATCTGTCTTGTTTTGCTAGTGATGTTGAATGAAATTTTAAGGGTCAAACTTTTTTTACACTTTGTCAAAAAAGGCGATGATTTAAAATCAAACTAATGGCTCGAAAGTTTGTTCCAACCGCAATTTGGAAAACTGCAAGCGAGTTATTTATCCCAGCGTTTAAGAAGAAGTAAGATACCAGAAGATTTTTTGACTGAATTTGTTTACAATAAAAAACCATTGTTCTGTGTAGATGAGTCCTATGCGCATATACACGAATTAAGTTTGACCTTTTAATCCTTGCTTAGTCTTGTTTTACTGGTATTTTTAAAATAGATTTTGAGGGTCAAATTATAACAAAAAAATCGTAATATACAAAAAGTTTTTTGATTAAAATAATAACTAATAAAAATCATTTTTGTGTAGATGAATGTATTTCGCTTTTTTTGCAAATCTATTTTCAAGAACAATCTGCTGGCTTTCTATAATTTTTTTAAATAAAACAAGTTGATCTGCTTTTTTCGTTAAACCTCATCATCAGAAAAAATGATAAAATAGTTTAGAGGTCTCTTGAAAAATTAATTCAATGTAAATTTAGCAAACCAACCTGTGTGAAAAAAACTTTATCAAATTTTTGTAACATGGTACAAAGTTGCGTTCAGATAAACGAAAACGTGACAAACGTTCCGTTTTTTTGGAAGTACAAAAACCTGACAGAAAAAACCCATCGTATTTAATTTAAAAAACACTTATGGTGTGAAAAAAATTATTGGTTAAAAAATTTGATTTTTGTCGGATACAATTGATTACATTCAATCTAAATAGTCTTTAAGTTATAAGCAAAAAGCAATTATAATTGATAATGAAAGATTTAAAAATCTTGGAAAATAGCACTTTTATGATAAAAAATATTAAAACTAAATTTTGTTAAAAATAATCATTTTTGTTGTCAAAACATCACTGTAGTATTTCGTT